TTTTGCATTTTCAGCAGCATGAGCCTGAGCCAAATTGGCGTAATTTAAAGCTGATTGAGCGAAGAAGGCCATTTCATTTTCTGTGAGCTTTCTCAAGAACCTTGCTGGATTACCTCCCCAAACCTACAACAAAACCTTACTAATTTTAGCTAGTCTCCACGGATCAAACAAATGAGAATCGCAACACAGGCATCACAAGCTATTAAGCTGAATCCTTTCTAACCGTTCACTTGAAACCAGCTAGGATCATTGAGAATGCTATATCATCAATATACAAATGGTCATGACAAGATCTAAATATTCAACTTTCAGGAAGCGGACCAGAAAAGTATCTTCTTAAAAAAAGAAATCATACAAACCTCTCCATAGGGGATCTTGGTATTCTGCCTAACAAGGGCTCCAGCAGCAACCATGGCATGCTTCTCAACATATACCCCATCAAGCAAGGTAGCACCCATGCCAATAAATGCCTCATCCTCAACAGTACATCCATGTAATACAGCACTATGACCTATGAAGTTCAATGGAGACAAGTGTCAAAATATTTAGACAAAACTTGAAATAAGACTATGCTCAACACAATCACAACATGGTCACAATTTACCCATGACTCTGTCACTAACCTACAGTGACATTATCTCCAATGATAGTTGGTAAGACCTTCCCACTCAAATTTGACTTTGCCACATGGACAAGAGAATTGTCCTGTATATTGGTTCCACATCCAATACTAACGCTGTTAGCATCACCTTCACAGGTTCACACAAAAAGTACCATTAGTTAAAGGAAGAAAACAACAGGTGGAGCACATGTGTACTTACAAAGGGAAATGAGCAAAATTGGTACTCAACCCCATCACACATGTAGTGAGTATTTATGTATATACGGGTAGGATGGATAAGATGTTTGTCCTTGATACCCCATAACTGCAAATAGTTGAAGCAATAAATGGGATAAGAAATTTCTTTCTTCTCTCCCTTTTTTATTGGTTGTCAAATCTCATATGTCCTCTTTTTTTCCCGATAAAGGGAGAGAAGGAAATTTTTAAGTATAAATATCTACTCCTTCCTTCAGACAAATATTACAGATGAGATATGGATTAAAAGAAATCCTTCTCTGTATTTTTTTCCTCTGTTCTGTCCAGTTATTTGTCTGAAGATAATGACCAAGTCATTTGGCAGAACTCCCGACCCCCCCCCCTTTCTCTCAGTGCTTTTATTTTTACTTTTTCATTTTAACTTTATTCGGTGACTTGCCTGACAGGGTGCAGATAAGGTAGTGTTATATTGTCTAAGCTTAATATGATGTGTTCAATACGGTACTGTATTGATATTAAAAACAAAAATCTAAATCGCCTGTTTTTCTCTGCAGAAATATTTACACAACATACGCAAATCAACTAATACATTCCCTTTTTACCCCCAAATCAATCATGTTCACAATAATGGGTGGGAGAGCTTAATATGATGCTTTCCGTATACAATGGGGCTGATATTATGAGACCATTCTAACAGAGTTCAGGATCGAACTTCATCAAGGAATCGAGAAGAATTTCCATTCAAATCAAATAATAAATCGCATTATCAATGAGCTAAAATTGTAGGTAACTTCAGAGTTTTGATGATGGGGCAATTTACCTCTCAGGACACATCCATACCATATGGAAGACCCCGCCCAACCTGAACATCGCCAATTATTGATGCATTAGGGGCTACGAATGCTTCCTTATCAACCGCAGGAGCTTTGTCAAATACATTCATGAGAGTCCGATGCCTAGACACTGAAAAGAACCACAAATTAAAAGGGAATGGGGAGAAAGCAAAGGAAACTCTGAAATGAGATGGTATGAAAACGTCATTGGCCAAGATGGAAAGATACTTCAAATTTATGGCAGTGCAGAGCTAAATATATAATCTTTCAGCCCTAGTTACACAACTAGGTATTACGAAAGACAAAACTGCCAAAAACATAATCTGTTACGTTTAGGAGAACCATATCTGATTAAAACGGAAAAGAAAAAAAAGTACCGAACAATGTAAGGCAGAACAACGAGATTAAGGACTTTGAAAGCCATTAAACACGAGACCTTAAGCCGAAAGTGCCAAAAAGGAATTCCAAGTTTCCTCATTTTTTTTCCTCCTAGGAGACAAAATGGAATAATGAGGTGGGGCTTTACAAACACATTTGCTGGCACATTAACCGCAAATAATCCAGATACAACTACAACATTTGATAGGGATCGATGGTTGAAAAGTAAAGGCACTCAAAATGGATATCAGAATCACGCAGTCTCTCTAGGGTTTCAGAAGATAGAGGAAGGGAGAGACATACGCTGTTCTTGGAAGTAGTAGTTTCCCTGAAGACGGGAGCCAAGGCGATCGAGGGCTTGGCCCGTCTCACGGATCCAGAACCCAACAGAGTAGAATGCTTTACCCAAGGTTCCCATGTTCCTGTCTTTGAATCGAGCCCAGATTACTTTGATCAGTTCAGGGATTTGAGGAGTTGGGTATCAGTTGAGGACCCAAAGCATTGAGCAACAGAACATCAGCAGAGAAAATGGCAGAGAATCGAACAAGTCGCACCACCAGAATGGGAGCAGGAGTGGGGAGGACTCACACACAGACGCAGCGTTTCCCCTCACTTGTTTCCCTTGCTGCTCTCCTTCTCCCGTTCGCAGAAACGAGCAGCGGAATATCGCCACGTGTCGTCCGTTAGCCCCGTTTTATAAGTGCCACGCACTCCTTTTGTGTCTCGCAACGTTTGCTTCCCACAACACCGAGAGGAATTTTTTTTTTTTTTTTTTCACAAGGGAAAAAGGGAGATTCATGAAATGATGAGTGATTACGAGCAAGCAGATCAATAAAAAAAGGGCGGCTGAAAAGAAACAAAAGGAGTTACAAAAGATTTGGCACTGTGAGTGCAGTAAATAAAAGAATGAACAGATAGAATAAATAATCGGCTGCAGTGTAGGATTCATGGGCGAAGATCTGTTTGTTCCAACATGAATTGGCCAGCGTACATTTTCAAGGCACATGGTCAGGATCTTCCTGGCCAGTGTCCAGCAAGATTGTCAACCTGTGACGTCTCACAAGACCATTAATAGAAAGAGAGATTTTATATAATTATTTCTTCCATATAGTACTTCTAAAAATGGCATAACTCGTTTAACTCATAAATTCAAGTCTAAGATACATTTAGTAAAGCATAATAGAAGCATTTTATGGTCTCTTAAGACTTTTTTATTGAAAATTATCTTTTTAAAACCTTGTCTGAGAACAAGGATACGAGGAGCCAAGAAAAGCAAATAACAATAGTTGCGGTGGAAAGAAATGCAATTGCTTTGGCGTAATCGCTCCAGCGATGGCCCCATTGGGAAACATATTAAAAGACAATTGTCCAGTTACATAATGACATTGGAAATTACGAACCCCTTTCATTTTCCTTATTTATTTTGGGGAACCTTTCATCCTCCTCGTCCAACGTTATCTTTCATTTGTTTTGGAGTATTATTATGTTTCACAGCTGGAACCGCCCCTTCCACAGCATGCCTGATGTCCTAGTCTGTGGGGATACTGTTGGAGGATCATCTTATCTTTTTGGGGGAAGCGTGATTTGATCCGTGAGAACTAGCCCAGTTGAGAAACGAACTCAACACGTTATGAAATAGAAGTGAAATTCCATCGGCTGAAATAAAGTTAGGGGGTTTTATCTGCACATTTTTTGCCATGAACTTGTATGTGAAAAAAGAAAAAATCAGAGGTTTTTCTTTGATAGTGTGTACGCGTCCAAGAAACTCCTTACCAACATCTATCTTTATCTGCTGCTATTCATTCTCACTGTGTTTTACAAGAACACTGCCTAGTGCGGCTCATGTTCATCATACATAGGTGTGCTCAATGTTGATGATCCCATTGAGAACCTCGGACTCCGCATCACCGTTATACTGAAATTCCATTCTCCTTTTGATTTAGCAGATTAAGATGAGAAGTCCATATCTGCTCACATATATGGCCTGCTGACACAGCTCTTTCTGTATATGCTCATAAACTTGGCCACAAATTCTGCGGAGAATTGCATATCAATCTCATGTACTAAAACAGCAAGACTTTGCATATCTTGTTATATGCAAATGAGTAATTCTGGTGTCACTCGTGTTTGTTTTTTGACAGGGATTAGAAGAGTTTCGATGTCTTTACCAGCTAACTTGTTTAAAGCTATAGTTCCAGGTGGGAGTCTTTTGTCCTGTAAAGTGGAAACATACGACTTGGTATACTAATTTTGTATCATATTGTAGAAAGTTTGATGAGGAAGAGAAACTCACATAATAAGCGTGCCAATAGTAGAGTTCCCTTTTTAAGCTGGCTTCGATATTTTTCAAAAGTTCTTCCACTAGTTTCTGCTGCATGTGTCAGGACACAAGTTCCATTACAAAATGAAAATACTACTACCTCATGTTCTAATTATAAGATTTTATTTGTAATTTACAAATGAAATCTTATAATTAGGATTGGAGGTAGTATTTTTGGTTAAGTGTTACAAGACATAAGTGATTCATCACCTGGAGAATGAGTTTTGGGTGAACAAAATCCTCCATAAGCTTCTGAAATTTTTCTCTTACTGAGATTAGGCTGATCAAACCACAAGAGAAAAGAATTAAAATGAAAACACTATTTGATCTATTGCAGTCTTCAAAACATGGATAGAGATTTTCCTTTCCATTTGAAATTTTGGTACCATGAATTTGATGGATCAGCTATGATCTCTGAAGCAATTTCTATTACAACATCCTCCCATCCAATTGAAATTGGCTGTTCTTTCAAAAATGGATATCTGCATAGAAAAGTACAGGTTTCCTTAACTGAGATGTTGTAGAACAAGAAAACAAACAATGCAAACGTGGGTAAGAAATCCATCCTTCTATATATCATATTTCCCTCACTCTGATGCAAAGCAACAGAAGTTAAATTTTTTTTTTTTTCCTCTTTAAGCCGTCTGGATCCACACTTGGTAATGCAATCTGAGGGGTTGTGCAGTTTTGTCATTCATCATCATCTTACTCGAATGCTTTGCATGCCTCAAGAGCCATGATAGCTTGCCTGAGATTCTGATTAGATTTTGCTGCAATCATAGCAGCAAAATTCATTGATAGATGAATATCCTCTTTCCTTGCTTGCTCTCAAACAGAACCTCTACAATCTGGGATATTGGGGTTCCACATCAGTATTTACAACACTTAAATCCTTAAAGTTCAAACCAAATAAGAAGAGGAACAAAAAAGCTGTATTCTTACCTGAGTAATAGTAGGTGGACGAACCTCAATCACTTTGAGCAGGTTCCTCACAGAGTCAGGAATGTCAACATCATCTTGGCAGCAGAGTATTAGTTTGCATATTTGGGAGTGGCAATCTATAATCCATGAGATTATGTGCTGGATGTCCTGTCCTGCCTTGTCAACCTCATAGAGAACTACCACTGAACACGATTTAAAGCATGCTGCTTATTAGTAGCCTCACAGACTGTGAGAAGTAGAGTACAAGTCTATGTGCATATTCTTTGAACTGACCTTGACAATCTGACTTGATATTGAGATTGGCATCTTGGGTGTTACTGCATAGATACAGTTCATTTCCTTCACTAACCCAATCAAAGCATGCTTAGCATTCCGCTCCAAATTTACGTTTTTTCCACGTGATGACGACTGAACGTTATTGGAACACTTATTTTCGTAGGCCTACCTTCCTGTCATTTACTAACCACGAGATTCAGAGATGGGTTTCAATCAAGGTTAGAATGAATAGAACTTGGGAAATCTGTACCTGAAAGGGGAAATATCTTATATCGTGGGATAACTGCATCAAAAAGTGTTCAGTAAGGTGAGCTCAGAAATTGTGAAATATATAAGGCGAGGTCAAATCAAGATGCATACGTTCCAACACTCCTCGCCTGTATATATTCTCGCAGAAGAGCCATTGCTAAGGCTCTTTTCCCTGTACCGGGGGACCTTTTAGCAGAGCGTGTGGAATTTCATCAAGAGACACCTATTAGTCAAAATCATCTCAATTAGAAGCGCTAGTATACGATGCGGAAATTATTCTGCAATCGAACTTCTTATAAATTTTGATGAAATTGTATAAGTTTTTTTTAACAATTGATACATGCTTATTTTGAACTAAGAGGGAGCTACATGAACTTTAAAAAAAAAAAAAAAAGGGAACTACATGATTCTCAATTTGTTTAATAACTACACAATGTCTCTTTCATTTTTCCAAGTTTTTGAAATTTTCCATTGAAAATAAAGACCAACTCCTTATTTTTGCGAAATAATATAAACATATTCTAAGAATCAATGGGGGATTTTTATGTCATTATTTATTTCATAAGAATTATAGTTTTAAATAACAAATGATAAATTTATGTAATCGTGATAAAATTCGGGACGACTAGGATTGGCGTAAAAAATTTTCAAGTTCAAGAGGTCTTATTTTAATACATCAGCGGCCATTGAGGGGCAGAGCAGGAGAAGTATAAGAAAGCTGAGCTTACAAATTGCTTGAGAAGTTGAGCTTCTTGTTTGTGGCAAACGAAGTCATTCAGGGAAGCAGGTCGGTACTTATCTGCCCAGAATTGTGGCAGACTCTCCACCACGCACGCTCTCTCGATGATCAACGCTTCATTAACTCTTGCACGTTCCGGTGATCTTCTTGAGTTCTTGCATGATTTTCGTCCCATGCAAGAAAACAATGCTCGTTTCTCCTCCTTTTTCTTCTTCCCCGTTATTTTCCCTCCAGAGGAGCTGGAAAGTGAAGTTCTACTAGATCTAAATGATGACGGCGATGATGATGTGCTCTGGATACTCTTGCGGTTCGATTCGAAAGAAAACAGGACCAGACTGAATCGACCCTGCAGAACCCGTTAATGAAATATGCCCTTGGGGACTCTCATAAAGTCTTGTCTCTGCAAACATTTCGTTGATTCTTCCTTTGGAAGGAGTTATATGCTTTTCCTCCCATGTTGGATCCTGCTTCTTGTTACCACGTAGAGTGCCATTTCTAATCCCATCATGCTTCATTCTCGAAGAAGATTTGATTTCTTCTCCAAACCTTACAGAAAGCATCCTGTGATGCGCCATGGAATGGAGCTCGCTGAGAAAACTGCGACTAGAAGGAGGTGGAAGCTATGGAGGAAGTACAAGTTATGAAGGCGAACGGAAGAAGAAGAAGTGGGGTATGAGAGAGCCATGGTTTCTAAAGGAGACATTATGGACGATGAGCACTAGAATTGTTGCGTGACGGGAAAATATGCCTTTTCCTAGCCGATCGCGGCTGGCAATTTTGTAGTATTTGTCAAGAGTTTGCAGTGGGCGCGTTACTTCTTATTCTCAATGACCCACTTGATTTTGGTTAAGAATTATAAAGCTCATGAAAAGAAATTTAACAGTACAATAATACTCTGTTTAAAAGCCACTTGTTTTATTTAAACAGCCATAGTTTCATTAAACATGAGCAAGACCTTTGGTTTATATTATTGTAGAGTAAGCAACAATTAATGGATGTCACAAAACAGGGGGGGAAATTGGTGAAGAACGGTTTTTCCTCTCTCTTTT